TGTTCGTTCCCATCCACACATGCGATTATTATGGTCTGGGAGCATCTAGTTAAACAGCTGGTGGCGCTATTGATTCAGTAAGGTGCCACTGCAGAAAAATAAAGATGACATGATTAAAAGAGCGCCAGATAAACTCAAATGACTGAAAACAATGTTTTGTGATGGAAATATGGATTTTATGTCTTTGGCTTTTTTTTAAATTTTCAGCATTTATAATTTGTGTTATTTATTGGATGTTTCCACAATGGCCAAAGGTGTATTTCAGTTTAACAATATGACCCAATCAATTTAATACGAGCGCATGTTTGTTGGCATCAAATAAGTGTATTAAAATCATTAGTTTACAAATACGTGACATAACAGGGAATGTCTTTTAAGACAGTGTTACATCAAGGTGAACAGTGATTAGACACATACACACACACATACGCACAAGAGCAACAGTGACAACAACAATGCTTTGGATTAGTGAAAAAGTAAAAAATAAAATCACAATCTTGAGTCTCAGTGACAAAGTGATAATGGACATACACTCACAGTTTTAACAAAATATACACAGACATACTCGACCTTATACTCTAAATCTACAGTGGAGATCTTTTCTGTTTTGGTTATAGTCATTAATGTTCAGTTTTATTTCATTGGTGTCATTTTATATAATCCATCTCATTTATCTACGTACAGTTATATTTTCTTTATTCTTCTGCGAACATCGGATTCAAAATAAAACGAAAAAGGATCATCTCAGAGAGACATGTCGCCAACTTTACAAATCTCAAAAGTGCAAGACTGTGATGTGGGAAAGTGCATGAGTCCTGCCAACTAATCACTCAACAACACGGCTCTGCCAGCGTGGAGACCGTCGTCTCACTGCAACACTTATTCACACGTCTAACCATGCCGACGGAGCAAGCGTACATCGATACCTTGATTCCAGCGTGACGATAACATGTCGACCCCATGACAAAGCGGAAATCCTCTTTAAAGCTACAGACAGCAGTGTGGGCTGAGGACCGGGAGTGAATTTTCACTCACACTTCGGCCTGTCAAGAGGGGGAAGATTAAATTTGTTATGTGGCAAGAAATGTGTTACTGGAAGAAAAAGTTTTCAATAAATGAATCTAAATCTAAAATGCATTCATGCTTCCATTTCACAGGAAAATACGGAGGTTAAAACTGATTATTTTAAAAAGTCCGTAAGTCCTCTGGTATTACTTTGTGTAAATGTGCTGATAAATTAACTGCATATTTTTAATCATGGAATAATTTGCTTTTTTTGATGACACCAGAGGAGAGGAAGCAAATCACTGTATGACCGTATGACCCCGAAGCCTTTTTTCTAAGTTATGATTTGTTGCTTTCAAGGGACATCTCATAAACCACCAGGGATTCACTTTTTGACTTTTTTGGAATGTAAATCTTGCCAAGCGACATTGCCCACTGGCCAAGATATGCACTTGTTGCCTAGCAACGCAGGCTCACTGAACATCCAATCAGGGAGATTGTGAACATGTACTGACCTGCAAAGCCAAAGCACAGTTAGCTTGCATAGCAATAAGTCCTGAAACAGGCAAATACAACAAGTTTATCTGGCAATAAAAGTGTTGTTTGGTACAAAAGTAGGTTTCTGATTAGATTTGTTTTTTTTGGAGGCGCAAAAAACCCTATTTTTTCAGCTTCCTTCAACATGAGCGATTTTGATGAATGTATGAAACTTATCCTCATTTTAAGAGAAATTCACCAAATTAGCTGTTCAGGGGCTTCGCGACATCTGAAACTAAATGTTTTTCTATCTCTTTTGAAGGAGAATCTGTGAATTGGCGGCACACTGCTGGGTGTGGCTTTACATCACCTGACAGGCTTCGTCTAGCGTGCACGTTATGCAGCAACACGACACATTTGGGTCACAATAGCCGTACAAATACATCCTCAGGCTCAAGGTCGCACACACAAATGGCAGTTCCAACTTGCTGAATAAATACACACGAACCAAAAGAAAAAAACCCACCTGGAGCAGAAATCATTTTTCACATCGAACAAGAGAACATCACAATCCAGATTCTTTATGCATGCAGCATGTGAACACACCATTGTCCTGTTTTACTAAGCTTTTGTTACAGGGTCATATGTGTTTTTGCAGAGTGTATATACCAAGTAGCCTTTTAGCCTGATGTGTTTAAGGGTCACACAGGAGATTCAGGCTCACGCCAATAATTTCATTCTTTGATAAGAGTTTAAACTTGATGCTGACATCATTTAACGGTGAATTCTTCCCCGTGTCATTGTTTCTGCCTTCGTCTGCTTGTGAAACTGCTCCTGCTGATGAATCCTCAGTAAATGTGTGTGGTGGAAAGTTGCAGCTGAGGCGAGTGTCCCATGGCTCATAATTCTCTATTGTGTGATTGTGTAGCTGTGACTTAATGAATATTCGCAGTACCACAAAAAACAACTAGAGGGAGAGAGACACAGGCTTGGCACTGCTTCAGTATTATCACATAGACACAGACGGCAGAGTCTGTACAACCGTAATGAAGGGTGTAAATACATGTGTGGGGATCTTGTTAGTGTGTGTCTGAGTGTGTGTGTGTTGTTGCTTTGCGCTATGGTTGTCCTCCTCTTCACTGTGTGGGGGAGCAGTCGTCAAGATCCAGCAGCTCTCTGACCAGTCTCTCTCCAAACTGTGCTCGGCTGTAGCGTTCGACAGTGTAGGCGTCAGACATCTTGTAGAGGATGTACGCGTTATTGATGGCGATGCTGATGCTCAACCAGAAGACCTGCTGCCAGGTCTTGTTGGGCTTGTGGAAGATAAAGTACCTGTGGGACAAAGACACACTTACATTTCTACACTATACTACTTGATCACAAAAGTAATCATTTGAGCTTTAACATGCCGGAAAATCCTAAATGATCATAAAGCTCAGGAAATATTTTGTATTATCACTCAAAAGATTAATGAAATGATAATCAAATGTACATTCAGCCAGAAATGATAGAAGGGAGGGAATGTTATCTGATACTGTAAATAAAGATGGACGACACTTCTCCACTTCCTCCCATTGTTAAAAAAAAAAAAAAAAAAAGTTTAGTTAGGTGCCGCCATCTTGTGTTTTTGATGTGATTGGGAGTCAGTCTTGATTGTGGGGTGGAGCCGCGGTATCGAGGTTTTGGCGATACACACACTCCACCAATCAGAAGTCAGTGTCAGTTAGCTACCAGGGGGCGATGGGGACGATTAGGCTTCACTGTCATGTCATCTTTGGTATCAGACCAAGTAAAAATTTATATTTAAAAAACACTTGTTCAAAGGAAATGAGTCATGGTGTTTTTACTGTTTATGAAATAAACTGTATTTGTGAGGGAGCGAATTAAAAATGAACTGTCTCGTTTTAAGGCAAAATTGTCCATGTTCTGCCTAAAATGCGACTGATTCTGAGTCAGTAACAAGATGTATCGTCTTGAATCAGCTGCTGTTGTGTAAAAAGTTTCACATACTTGCTGTACTTGTCGTCATATTTGCAGATGTAGCTGAGGTGTGCTGCAAAGGCCTCGACAGCCAGAGGACATGGGATCTCCCCACTTTTCCTCTTAATGATCAAACCTGGTGGGAAACACGCAAGCTGAGAGTGAGAGACATAGAGTGCAGAAGAGAGAGCCTTTACATATTCTGTATTTTTATTGACGTTTTATTGTTTATTCTCTTGGTTCCCTGGTGTGTGGATCAATACAATTTTATCATATCTTTTTTAGGAGCTGCACGGGAGAACACAAATGTCTGAGTCATGGCCCTCCGAGTGAAATGTCTGAGTGAGCCCATGTGAGAATACAGCAGGAAAATGCCTGTAGAATTCACAGTGATGTCATAGACATATGGCACCGACACAGATCTTAACTTGGAAAGACAAGGGCCTGATGGTTTTGATTTGGGCTTCTTTATAGACTTTATGACTTCCTATTCTCCTTTCAATTCAGTGGTACCACTCTATATCTACACACACACACACACACACACACACACACACACACACACACACACACACACAGAGAGGAAAGAAAATCAATAGTGGGTAAAAACAGTTTAATGGATCTGAGGCTTCACTTCCTTGCTCTTCATTCAGAGGAGCTCAGACACACACTGTGGTCCTTCAACTTGGTTTAACACCCAACAAAACCGTTTCATCCAGAGTGGATTATGCTGTGAGAGGAGGGGAATGTCGTGTCCCTAGAATGGGATTATCGTGGATTAGAAGCTCTCGCTGATTTACCGTGAAGCAGATGCTTAAAGATGAGCTAATTTCACCTGATGGTTATTTGCATTTACTGATGACAGTCCAATAATCTCTAAAACAACTGTATTTTTGCATTAACTCCGTATTGAGTGCACCATCTCCTGTCAGCACACACATTCTTAAAACGTTTGTAAATTAGACAAAATATACCTTTAAAGCTTCAGAGGAAACTGTAATGTAAAGATGCTTTAGTAAAACCGCTTCTTGTTCACTAGCTTCTTCTTTGTTTTCTTGTTTACCTTGTTTAGTTGGGGAGTACGCGTTGCTGAGGAACCTGAAGTGTCCCTTGTTGTACCAGCTGATCAGCGACATGCCACCCTTCATCATGACTCGTGATTGGCCGCGCTGCGCTGGTGTGGAGCCGCAGACCAGCATGCTCTGTGGTAAGCCTGTACAGTCGCTCTTCCTGGTGCTCAGCAGACCACAGCAGAAGATGTCTGGAGAGAGATTCATGTAAAAATGTTACATTTTAGAAATCAAACTATTGAGGCAGGTAATCAAGATAATACCAGATTCATTAGGTTATATATGATTGTTTGACTAATGTTTTAAGTAAAATACTTTCCAAAGTGAGAATTATGTTGTTTTGCTTTATCTCGATTTTAAATGAGATATTAAGTTTAAGGTGGAGAAAGATTATGACATCACCTCGGCTTCTGGGAATTGTGAAGATCAATTAATAGATCAAATGATTTATCTAAAAAAAGAATCAATATCTCCAGCTCTAAAGTTTCATTCAGCTCTGCACCTATCGCTCCTCGTCTTTGCTTGAAATGTTTCTGTCCCTGCAGCTATTTCAATTCTTCTTTTCTTCCACGGTCGAGCAGAGACGAAACAATCCTGTGGCTGAATGCTGCTTATTTCTTAATGCCCTCAATTTGGAGAAGGATTTTTATCTCTGTGTGTGTGTGTGTGTGTGTGTGTGCACAATAAGTGCTGCAGAGTATAGCACAGGGTAATTAAGTCTGTTAATTAACCCAGCATGATAACTCTAAAAGGAAAATGTCACACAATGTCTTCAGAAGCTCAGAGCTGAGTTTGTTCAGCTGAAAGCCTCTTGGTAGCTTCACCCAATTAGTACGACTAAATATTGATTACATCTCTGGACTTGTGTTTCTTTCATTGCTGCACTTCAGCTGTGCTCCGTTGAGGCTAAAACTGCTCTTTTGTTTGAGTTTAGTCAAAGACCATTTGTGATAAGGGGAATGTAAAACTCTATGAGATGATATCATCAGAGGAGTCTTATCTCGTCTCATATAAATCTCTAATATTTGCTGTCTGCCTTCACTGATTCCCTCTGTTGGTACATGACAACATTGTCCCACATCTGCTCTTGTGATGAAACAATGAAGCAGGTCACTAAAGAGAATTCTAATGTGACTCATCCTTCCAACTTAATGGGATTTAGCTTCCATAGTAAAAGATGCCTTTGGTTTAATGAGCATGAAGACTATGGATGAAATCAAAGATATATTATCTGCATAAAATATCACAATTTCCAGCAAAACAATTTCCTGCAAATCTTCTGCAACACCTTCGGTTAAAGTAACAGATAATCCGAATAATAAGTTTTGTGAGCCGTTAACAGTTCAACTAATTTAGATTATTATTATTATTGTCAGACGTTAAACTAAGTGGTGTTTCACTTAAGAATCCACTCAAGCTGTGACCAGACTAAACACACCCCAGTGAATCACCCTTGATTTACTATGCAGGTCAACTGATGTATGCTGCTGCAGAGCCTCCTGGGGCTGGTGTCTCATTGTCTCATGCAGAATGTTACACTTGATTCTCCAGTTATGTCAAAACATGAATAAATCGCTGCTAATTGTTTGAGTCGGTTGCTTCGGACGATCTCCAGAGGTTTTCCTCTCAGCACCCGAGTAAGTCTGAGTGAGCCCATGTGAGAATTCATCTGGAAAATGTCTGGAGAATTCACTGCATGCAACAGTGTGTGTTGATTATGTTTCTAACATGCAACAGATGGATAATAGAAAAAAGAGGAATCATACAAATAATAATAAAATAAATTCAAGAGTTTTTGGTGATAAGGGCTGGTGCTGGTGTTTAAAACCGGTGATTTCTGCAGCTGACGTCATGTCCTGCCTCCTGCATAATCTACCCAAGCACCAGCCCTCGCCTGAATGTTCTGGACATTTTACTGTTGTCAAGGCTTCTGAGCCTGCTGTGTTGTTCATATATAAAAGGCAAAGTACAGAGTGTGTTCTTTTAAATGTTAAATCTCTTTAGAAACGTCTAATTTCAGCTGTCTCTCAGATGTGCTTACATATGTTCCACTTGGAGTGTGAAAGCAGATTTTATCTTCCTGTCTGTGTTGTTTAGTCTGGGGAGGCTATCATCACAACATGATAAAAAATAGATCAACAAATAAAAATTGCAAAAACAGAGTGAGAGGCAATGACGAGAGGGAAACACCGAGGCTGAAAACGAGGGAGAAGAGAGGGAGGAGACGACGAAGTGTTATGTTTATCAATGCAGCGTCGATACTTTTCAGTTTTTGTACCTTGTTTGCTGAATTCGCTGAAAAGGCTGAGGCTTGTGATGGACGGCCCCGTGAAAATGATGGTGTTCTTGCCGGAGATGTTCTGGCAGAGCTGCTTGGCCACGAGGCTGTGCAGCTGAGGCTTGTTCTTCAAGGTGGCCAGACCGTCTGTGCCCTGGCCATCCTTCAGATGGACTGAGATCTGCAGAGAGAGAGAGAGAGAGAGAGCGAGAGCGAGCATGCGTCAGTAACATTTTGTTGAGAATTGATAATGCGATGGATTCTAATGAATGTTATATGTGAGGAATATTGGATTTAGACTGGTATTAATGGAAACAGGTTTGATCACATCTACATATGGGTGTTGTTTTATTATGCGTGGAATAGATTAAAAAAGATGTCAATTTTAAAGAAACATGAGCTAGAGGTTGACCACCAAAGAAAGCCAGAGTGAAATATACAAACTTCCATTTAAACCCACAACCAGTCCAGTGTCGCTCTTCCACTTCCGGCTGTTGTTCATGAGCTGAACGGCATTAGTCTGATTAACTGACATCTACGTCAGACATGTGCGTGTGTGTGTGTGTGTGTGTGTGTGTGTGTGTGTGTGTTGCACCGGCTAATGGACTCGCATTGATTCACTCCATTAACTTGTTTAATTTTTTTCCACCTTTAACACAATTCATTTAGAGAGTGTAGATGTCAGCGCCGACACACGTCAGCAGACTAGTGAAGACTGAGTGACGGCCAAACAGCCACAGTCAGTGTGAATGTTAATGGTTATTTATTGAATACGAGGGATAATGGAGAATGGTTTTAAATAACAAAAGCTGTGTTCAGGAGGTTTAGGATCAAAACAAGATGATGAATGGTGAGATTTATCAGTTATTTTCTTTAATATAATAATAACTTTGTTTGTATAACATTTATCTAAACAATGTTACTACAAAGTACTTTACAACATCCATGTCAAAAAAATGAATGAACTAAAATAAAAGGTATTCAATTCAATTTAAGCACCAAACCAGTGATTACGAAAAGAAAGAAGCAGGAGAGATTGAAGTTCTCATCCTGGTTGCTCCTCTCTCTCTGCTGATCTAATTCTGGACTAGATCCAGGCCAACGAGAGGACGTCTTCCTCTGCAGTGTGAGTGTTGCAGTGATCTCAGAGTTACAGAAATGGTCGGACACAGACTCCTCCACCCGACACCAGAAAGGTGCAGAGGACTATGTTGAACTGGAACTATATTTTACACCGCAGTTATTCTTCCTCTGACAACAGTGAGGTCTATAAATAACTGGGACACTGTTTCTGAAAAGAAATGTTGATGTTGAATTTTTAATGTGACTATTCATCGCCATGGACACCACTCCATTCACCTCCACTGACGGAGAAGAAATCTCAGAGACAGATTCATCTAAATCAGGATCAGTACAACTACAAGGATTATTCTACAGTATTTCACAACAAGTCTGCACAGCTAGACACAATACGTCTGAAATGAAATGCATTGTGTCCTCCTCAATGTACCTGTGGGTGGGTGGGTGTGGGTGGGTGTGGAGGACCTGCAGCGTGCTGGAATAAGACACACCAGGTAGAATACTATCGCTTACACTTTTGCTGCACATCATGAGGCAATAATCTAGCAAGATAAGGAATCGCACCAAAACTAAAAAATAGTTTAGGAGATGTGTTCTGTTTAATGATCTCTGTAACAGTTGAGTTTCACAGGTCTCAAGAACCTACTGTAGCTCGTCATGCAAGCAACTGGTGTCAGAGTGGAAGTGTTCACTATGCATTTATGAAAAGTGATTTTATTCTTTAATGTCATCAAGAAATTAGCCAAAGGCAAAATGTTGCAACATTGAAAACCTGAGACGAATTAAAAGATTTGGTGAAGCTCAAAGTTTCTGCTTCCCTCGTGAAAGTTTTTCTGACTTCAGGCAGTTGGTGACTTTTCCTGACATTTCTGATATAAAATATTTCTGTCACGAAGTTTGACACACACACATATATATATATAAAGTATTTGGGGCTGCTACCTGACAGATGAATCCAGTGGAGGTGCACTGTCGAACCCAGAGGCTGAACTTCCTCTTCTTCCTCTTCCTCAGCTCTCTCTCCGTGCAGGTGGTGATGAACACCGGATCCTCGTCTATCAAGGGCTCATGAAGAACCTGGAGACACACAGTCAACGTTACCGCCCACGTGAGTTTGTATTAGTGGATCTTTACATAACAAGAGGTGAAAACAAGAAATGTTTTATGAGGGATAGAAGTGAGGCTGTGTGTGATGTAACGATACAGCTGAGGGTGAGCGAGACAGCAGCAAATCAAACATCCTCACAAGTCCTGCATGTGTTGGAGAAAGATACTGCAGAGACTCCAATGTTCAGCTCTGTCTGTAAAACACTTCAGGAAAATCTCTTCTCCCTCATCAGTTTCATTTTTTTTATACTGTTTCAGTTGTTGCTTCGTTCTTTATGTTGTGAGTTGCACAAACCTACAACTACAAAGTGCTCACACACAAAAAAAACATCTAAATGAATGAAACAAAATAACAACAAAATAAAAAGTCTTCCTGTCGTCCTGTGCTTCTAAACTAGGACCTGGTTCAGTTTGATCTGGACCGAGACCAACCCTTTTGGTCCTGACTAAATTTTGACCCGTTGTTAGGAACCTTGTTCCGAATAAGCTTTCACACATTATCTTGGTTCAGGCAAAACTGAAAAGTCAGACGTTCCAGACCAAACAAGGTGTATGTGAAATTTAAAACCGTCCAAAGATTCAGCTAATCTGATCGATTGGAGAAAATGATCTCAATGTGTTGGGGCTAAATGAGCAAAGGTGCTGACACCTTTTTGTTTTGTAGTCTGAGCGATGGATGGATCAAAGGCCCAGAGTTGAGGTGGAGAAGTGGAATAAGGAATAAAGAGATTAGAAATGTAAACAGGGATAAGATAAGTCGTGCAATCTCTCTCTTTTTTTTTCTTTTTTTTTTTCTTTTGCAGGGAGGCAATAGAGAGATCTAAATGGCTCGCTCTAGTTAAGAGCCTGGCAGCTGACCAACCTTCTATTGCTCTGAGACCGAGAGCAACAAGTCATTTCACAGTCAAATATGCAGCTTTGGATACAAGAGTGAAAAATGAATGAGTCTCTGGATGACATCACTCAAACCATAATGGCCTTTTAAGAAATACATCATCCTGTAGCTGCCACACATTAGCACAGCGCTATCTGCTGCAGCTCGCTCACATATTTCGCTCACGAGTTTTCTTTAAATTTCAAGGACCAGATTATTCAGATGAATCTGAATCCTGAGTTTCAGCCCAGACTCGAACCACGACATTGACCTCTTTCTTCCAGAGTCACACATTAAATGGGCAGATTATTTTTCCACTGTCTGCAGAGCAACAGTCTCCGTCTGTGCCACTCTCACGATCTGAGCCCTCTCTCTGCCCGTGGCACTGAAAAGCAACAGATAAAACAAACTGGCCTAGATACACATGACACGCACACACACACGCACACACACGCCTGCCCACGCCTGCCCTCCTTTACTCATTCACTTTTACCTCTAAATGAATAGAGACACCGTGTCACCAAACCGCCAATTACACCAGCTTTGACATTTTCACTATTGTACTGACTGAGTGAGATGTGGCTATGATGAGGATCTGTTTTCCTAAATGCACCGCGACGCAGATGTTATAGCACTTGTACTGTACAAAGACCAAAAGCAATTTGATCAACTCCTTCCCAGAAATACATTACATTATAAGAGCTCCACAGTAGCTCCAGGGGCCCACAGCAATATGGTTATCCACCCCTGGTGCTCTCATCCGAACCAGACTCTGAATACCATGGTGATTTGATCGTTGCTTTGATGGGAGAACATTAACACTTTTTCGCGAGTCACTAATTTTCAAGTCAGGAATAGAAATGAATTGAGCTTGATATGAAAGATCTGCAGAAAACCACAGCCTAGGATTACTTTTTCCGTTAAGTACATGCTGACTGCTGTTATTTCCTCCACCAAGGAAGTTTTGTTTTCATTTACGCTTGTCTGTTTGATTGTTTTTTAGCAGGATTACATTAAAAATACTGGGCAGATAACCAAGAAACTTAGTGGAAGGATGCTGAATTCTGGTGCCGAATCAGAAATTGTTCTTCACTTTCTTTAAGATTGTGAAATTGGTTGTTTTGTGACATTATTTCCATTCACTCTACGTTGTTCATGTTTGATTCCTTTCAAACCAGCAGAACTTCTGTTCATCTAGAGAAGAAAGAAAAACAGGAGTTGAATAAACTCCAGCTCACCCAAAAATAGAATAGTGATCTGGAGCGCGTTGCCCTAGTTGCATAAATGCAGATGTAATTCACACAGGACAACTGAGAACAAGTCGAAGTAAAGTCTTCTGGAGGGAGCTCTGTTTAAAATGTGTGGTTGCCTGAAGACTTGCTGCATAAACTGTTTCTAAAGTAGGACTCTGGTAGACCTCACAAGCAAATTCCTTCACACCTCAAAAGGTAATCTGGGAATCCCTTAGCTACTAGATTAAAAACGCATGTATACATTTATGTACCACGAATAAAACAGTACTAACACTTTGATTATTATAGTATAACTGTATATAGCCTATATGTTACCTATGTAGCTAATATATCACCTGTATATCAACTAGAAATTATTTGATATCACATTTCTTGAAAGACTAATGGCAGATAATACAAACTATTACGCTAAATATCAACTATGCTGTTAAATGCCAGTGAATGCACCCAGCAGCTCCAAATCATTATAAGATGCCTGGAGTTTTGTACAAACCTGTGTCTGAGAGGGTCTGAACGTGCAGCCGAACGACTGCTGCAGTGAGTCCAGGAAAGGCTGGATCTTGTACAGGCCCTGGTTGCTTCCTTGCGACGGCCGGAAAGCCACGATATGGAAGTACTTGAGGATCTTCTCAAAGCGCGCCTGGCTCATCTTCAGGGCGATGCTGCTGTTGCTGAAAAAGCCCGAGCTCCAGATGCTGAGCACAGACTCGCAGCGGTGCAGGCTGGTGGAGGTGACGAAGCCCAGGAAGGCCTTCATCTCCTGGGCCGTGACGGGACGCCAGCCTTCGTCTGAGCCGAAGCGCTCCTGGAACTTCTTGGCGTACATGTTGGTCTGGGTGACCATGTTTTGGATGCAATTGTCCGGGACGAAGAGCTGGAAAAAGTCCAAGGCTGTGGCGGTGGCCGGCATCTTCTGAGCAGGGCCTGGATGAGGACAGGAAAGATAAAGAAAAGGGTGAAATGTTGCGAGGGAGAAAAATGGAACGACTGACAGATGGAGAGTCCCATATGGACTAAGTCACAGACACAACTGTCACTATATTCCTGCTTCCAAACTTTGGCACTGATGCTTCCGTTTGAATGTCTTTGCTGAAATAAAGGTTTCTATTTTAAGCATGATAGATACAATGTTGTAATTTTAATAAATTGAAATGAACAGAGAAGACATCTCTCTCTACTACAGATTTGAATTGTCATAGAAACATTCACATTCACATATAATCACTGGGCTTTTTCATGAATCAGCCATGACAGCTTTTGGTGTGAGTGTCATCGGCCCAGGGCAGCAGTCAGGAAGTTTACACAACATGACAGCCATCACACTCTGGTGCTTGTCACAGCGTGATGTTTCTGCGCTCAGTGAAGGTTTGCGTGTCTCGTTGCTTTAGTCTTACGACGGGCGATGAATCAAAATCACGCTCTGATGTAGTAGTGTCCACAGTGAGTGTCGAATGAAAGGTGTCTGAAGTCAAACTGTCAGTGAAGAACCCGCTGATGAGCAACGCTGTTTAAACAAACAGCATCAACGAAACCTTATATCAACATTCCATCATTATCATGTCTGGGACAGGGGACCTGCACCCAGGTGTGAACTCCTCCAGGAGCATGACGGACATGGAGAGATTGTGAAGCTACTACTACCATTTTGAAAAAAATTAAATTACAACTTGTGTAAAAAAAATATATCCCGATATTAAATATGCTGTAACGCTGCAAGTTAAAATAGTTAAAGGTAATCAATAAGCAGTGAATAATAAACCCTCAGTAGAGAGTAAACGATCAAGCTACACCCTGACAATGGATGGATAAAAAGGATATATCGTCCTTCACATGTTTACTGAGGAGAAAGTGACATTTATCTTTTAAAGTCCTCTGTCGTTCAGCAGTTAGGTGTAAGTAACACAGTCAATGCAGCGACTGGCTCGATGCGTTTGCTCTATTAAATTACACATCTTCTTGTAGGATCCGCGAGAGAAATTTGGACGTTAAGCAGAACAACTTCAGGCTCAATTTAACAGCACAATCTCATTATCTCTGCATAACAGTGAAGCTTTTCAGTCTCTATCCATTCGTTGGCTCTGAGTGGATAACCTAAAATAATGCTTCAGCATTTTAATGCCGAGTTAAAGATAACACGTACAAGATCAGATTAAATGGTAGGCAACATGTGGAGGAGGAGAAGGAGACGGACTAGAGTACAAGCAGGCCCACACAGCTTATGCTCGCTGCCAAGACGGCAGCAGGAGCCAGGCACGGCTCGGAATCCTCTCATTTGCATTCAATTAGACTTAAAAGCTAAATGTAAAATCCAGCGTAGCTTCCTATGAGCGAGCCACTCCTTGTTAAAAAACCATCAGACATTCAGATGGAACGTCCACCGAAGGACAAGTGACTCACTTCGTCTCATTTCATCTCAGGAGTGAAGCCAAAAAATATAACCTGAAGAAGGTCTTTGGAATTCTCTTTATGGATAATGGTATTGATTCATCTGCTCTGGAGAAAATACATCCTTCCTCCACAGATTCTTCTCTTTATACATCTCTGCCAGCTGGAGTTCAGTCCAGCCTGTTTCACTCTGATTAAACTGGATCACAACATTTCTACTTTCAGTCTACTGATATCAGCTGATTCTTGTCAACGAGGGAAACCTTTAGACATCAATGACCCACATTACTCATTACAAAACACAGATGTTGAGCGTGCAGACGGAATAATCCCTGGTGATTATCGGTTGTTTAAGCATTTCTATTGTCACAGGACAAACATCTCCCTGCTCAGGATTTAAGATTGAGAGATTACGTGTATGTGCAGAAGATAAAGACTTTGCTCAGAGGAAACAAGTCAATCACACACAGAGCACATGAGAGTGAGAGCACAATTTCTCAAACAAACCTTTGTAACAATATTACTAGCAATTACTTTAACATACAGTATATCTAGGCCAAATCCATATCTTCGACATTGTGTGAAATATAGATAATGTGGTCATCTGAGTCAAATGTTCTTACTGTAAAGTACTAGTACTACACTATACGTGTGTCCATTTTCTATGAAATAGCTTGACCAAACTATATTTGTGTTCACATTACATGCAATGATTGTTTAAGTTGAAGAACTTTTCCCAGAAACCTGGAAAACAGTGTAAGATGTCTGAACCATTTTATAGCGATGAGATACATGACAATCTTATTCTGAATTGTATTTATTTATTCATGTAGTGCTTTGTTTGTTTACTATTGTTTGAGTTTGCAGTATCCTCGAAGTTGTGGTCATTAGAACACAATTGTCAATAGGCCACTATGGAACTAAGTTATATTACTTTTTAGAGTTTTTTTTCCTGTCATGCACTATGCATAACCTGTTAGTATTATATGCTGTTTAAAGTTAATTTTATTCTATTACCTCTGTCAATGTGGTAATATCTTCAACCCAGTCTATTAATTTCTTTGTTTGTCGGCATAATTACACAATTGGTGCAGATTTGCACAAAAGGACAGATTATGGATTTTTTTAAATTCTTTTAAAAGGGGACTGTTGGGCCTTGGAGAAGATACGTGATCGGTTGAGTGTCATCCTAGTTTTATTTCATTTTGTCTTTGTTTTGCATGACCTCACAGTACTCATGCTTAGAAATGAGAAACACAGGGTCGGACAGATAAAGTGACATATGGAGAGCAGTAATCTCAGCAGAGTGAATTAATAAATAGCTCTCTAATTCCCCTCGACATCTCGATAAGGTGGTTATATAATATCAGATGTGCATGTTTGCTACATAATCCTTGGCTTGGTCCTTTGCCACCACTCTTTGCACTGCAGGGGAAACAACCTCACGTTGAGTTAAAGATTATCAACATCATCTATGGCACAGACTTTCATCTGTAAATCACATTTTTATGCAAATGTGGTTGCAAAAACCCTGCACCTGTTTCACAACCGAAGACGAGAAGCTGCTGTAACTGTTAAAAAAAACAAAACAAACACAACCCAGTTGGAATCTCTGAGCGTTTCCATGAAGTGCACTTGATTTTTTCTGACGGCGGCTGATGATTTATGTACGGGGTGCGCGGTCTCTGAGGAGCAGAGCTGTCACACCAACGATGTGTCTGTGTCAGCACTGTCACAGCTGGACACTGAGGCGCAGAGAGACAGAGAAATGGGCAGAGAGACGGAGAGGAAGGTGATAAAAAAGACAGGCAGACAGGTCAAACGATAGAGAGACAGAGAAACCCAGACACACAAGTTCATCAGACTTAGTAGAAACTGGCTTAAGCAGCTTTCTGTCCCGTTCCATTAGAATTGGTGGAGAAACATAAATATGCTGATCCTCGGGATGCACTCACTGTTCTGACTGTTGCATCCATCCAACCGGGCGACTCTAAATCATCCGACGGCAGGACCACACCCTCGCTGGCTGCTTGTGCAAACACACATTACAAACCAGACCAGACTATACAAAGCAGACAGACACACCTGCTGCCTCCCTGCTGCTAAAGTCAACAGAGCAGGACAGAGCAGGATGTGAGAGCTCAGTACATCCTGAAACACGTCTCTCACCAGAGGACCTCTTGTGTTACCCCGGCTTAGCTCAGTTTGCTTCAGATTATTCTGGATAAGTGAAACAGGCACCGCTCCACATAACAAAGCAGGATTAATGAAGTTAGCTGGATAACTGGAGAACAAATCCAAGCAAAGCCTGACTCTACACTGTAAACTCATACCTGACTGTGGTTTGAGAAGTGAAGCACAGAGCTGCTGTGGGTTTTGTTGGCTGTCACGCTCAGTGCTTTCAGAAGCAGGTCGATGAACTTCGATTTGGGCGCCGTAGATTCAGCAGAAGATTCAATATTAAAAACGTTTGTATTGCACGACACTCATATTATGCTTTTGGCATTAAAAAGTTTAGCAAAACAGATTCTCTTTGCCTGCAGTGCAGTTTTTTTCTGCCGAGGAGGTTATGTTTTCACCCTCATACCTGGACGGATTAACATGAAACCTGGTGGAGGGATGAGGGTCATTCAATTTTGACATGGATCTGGGTCAGGGATCCAGGAATTGTTGTTTTTCACTTTCTTTAAAATTGTGAAATGGGGCTTTTTCAGCAGAATCAGGCATATTTAGGGAACTGATATCAATGAGTGGGTGGAAGTTGGTGCAGCATAATTTAATTTAAGGGAACTGTTGGGTCTTAGTGGATGTATAAGCTCTACTGAGTGCCATTCTATCTTGCAATAGATTCCTTTGACTTGACCTACAGTCAGATTTGTGTGAGCGCTGTTATGCATGACTGTGTGTTTCTGTGCTATGTGTGAGCGGACTGAGGCCTGGTCCATATCTACTGAAGCCATATGTTGGTTCTCCTCCAAGGGTGCAACAATGCATCTCCACAAATCGTCTCTGCTTCAGCTGAGGCAAAAGAAGGAGAGGGGAGCGGAGAACGAACCCAAACAAAGCCTGACTGTATGCGCTGCACGATAAATCCAAACCTCAGACAAACCCTGATGCAGCCTCGCAGATGTTTACTGGACTTATAAATGGACAAAACTGATCCGAGCACGGCGTGGAACACATTGAAGCAGCATAAGAACAATTTGTAAGAGACGGAGAAGTGTGGGTGCATGGTGCTGTTTAACTGTCACGATTCACACACACCTCATTGGAGGACAGCTGCAGTGAAAGTGGGAATCCTGCATCTCTCTTCGCTAACAAGCTGGTCTACACTGCTGCTGACACCCAGAAGCTGCAGGAACACACACCCACATTCTACACACACTACCCTGCTGTATGTGTGTGTTGAACCAGGAGAGACATCATGCTTTCACAAAATTAAATTGTCTACCCTGAAACACACACTCTACATACATGCACTGCTGTTTCACAACATTATGCAAATATACTGTCTGTCTACCTGCAGTCGACATGCCCATGTCACACACACACACACACACACACACACACACACACACACACACACACACACACACACACAC